CCCCAAAACCCCAAAACCCCAAAACCCCAAAACCCCTTGCAGGGGGTGGAGGGTTGAAAGAGGGAAGAGGGGGTAGGGGAAGAGGGTTAGGGGGAGAGGTGTTTAGGGAGGTTTGAGGGGGTTTTGTGGGGGTATGGAAGAGGATTTGGGTGGTTTTGGTAGCGATAGTTTGGAGGAAGCTAAATGAGGTAGAGAGGGGGTGGTACTTTGGGGAATTGGTGGCAGGTGGGGGTTGGGATAGAATTTTCACTATTTGTGTTTCTTTGAAGATTTGTTGGGTGGATATTATGATTGTCGAGTTTTTCATTCTCATCAAAGCGATTTCATGGCCCAATACAAGTATACTTTAACTTATTTGGATTAAAAATACTATCGTTATATTTAAAACTTACTCAGAAACTAAATTAAATTTATTTCTGTTGTATTCCAAAGATTTGCTTTTAGGAGCCATCTCAAGTTTGCTCTTTCTACCAGATTTAGTATCAAATCTTTTCTTTCTTTCAATACTTTTAGAAAGCTTCTCAATTTCTTCATTTAAATCCTTTTATTTTATAAGTTCCAAAATTCTTACTTCAAAAATGCTCTTATTTTCTCTCTTCGTATTCATTAAGGCCATAATGGTTCCTTCTATACCTTTCTTTAATCTCTATGCTTTGATCTGAAAGATCTTCTGGTTGTCCCTAAAATTTCATGTAAATTTTTAACCAAGAATTTTGAGCTATTTCTTATTTAATATTTACAGAAATGCAATTAAAGTATACTAAAAGCTTAGTTTTCAGAGGGCAATGCCTATTCCCGTTTTTTAGTACTAAAGGTCACATTCGTGCCAAATAATTGCTGAGAAACTATTGGCTTAAATCAGCAATAACCCCTCAGACCTAATCTATGTGTAAAATTTTACTCTCGGCTGTATTTTCATCAAATATTTGATAATCTCTTTATTTTGATATCCATTCTATTATTGTCACTACTGGTAGCTCACCTTATCAAGTTCTAACCCTGGAAGTCTATATATCTTTGGCTTCTCTTCAACTACAGAAGTTACACACTAGAGTACTCTTATCTCCTTTCTCAGCAACAGTTAATGGTAGCAGTTGAGGGTAGTCAGAATCTACACGTAGGATATAAGTCATCAAAACGAATAGTTAAAATCTATTTTTAGGTAACCTACCTATCAAGTTCTTAAGAATCTTAGACCTCAGATGCTGGTGGATTTTCATGATGGAATTCCTACTTCTTCTCTTTCTGATGGCATATTTCCCATCAACAGATTTTGATAAACTCTTATTTTCCTCTAAATATTGGAATTATTGCCCCCAGATTCATAAAATGTTAGGAAATACAGAAAATAGGAAATTACTTCAGAAGTTTATCTGAAGGTTTCTGTTCAATTTGTGCACTTTCCAATCCTCTCTTGTAAGCTTTGCCTTTTCTCTATTCAGATTTATGAGTAAAATGAATTTAGGTTTTAATTGTTAGATATTTTCAGTTCTCTTAAAAGGATATTAAGAGATTTTTTAGCAAATTTATGAAAAATTAAATATTATCTAAAATTATACCTATCATTTTCTTTCGAAGTTCCGAATTTTATTAGGATTAGGTAATATAACAGACCCTTTAGAAATTGTCTGCAAAAAGAAAACTATAACAAAGATGTACATATTCTATCATGGTAAGATGCCAAACTTAAAATATATGTGAAATTATATTTGTGAGGCAATATTCTGATGAATAAAATAAAAATATGTATAACAGAAGGCAAATGGGCGTCAAAACTATTTCATTATTAATTATATATAGAACGTTTGAACTTCAGAGCTCTTACATCGCTACGTGATGATAAGATCTCCCAATAAGCAGATAGTATAATTTCTCAAGCCACATACCCTCTCTTATTGTTCATGATATCTCTTGGGTCTACGAACTTGTTCAGATTTGGAATATGAGCAGCGATATCCGAGTTCTATAACCAAAATAGCAAAGTATCACCATACTTCCATAATTTTATAGTTTTGACCACCTTTGAAAAACTTGGGCCCTGGAGATATTGTCTCAAGATTCCTAGTTATTTTAGAATCTTCTATAACCGATTTACTTCTTTTAGCTCTATTCCTTTCCTCTTTTTGAGGGAAGTTTTGCTTTCCTAACTTGAAAGAATATGCTCTATCAAAAGTTATTTAATCAAATACTTTTTACAAGAAGGATCAATCTTATCAATAAGCATTTGGTCTGCCAGATCAATTGAGTCTATCTAAAAATCTTTTATAGACAAATACATCTGAGAGATCGGCGACACATTTCTGCTTGAAGTTCTTCTTAATCATCTTATTTTCCCCCTTCGCTGCTTTAAATTTGTGCAATGTTGGCTAATTTCTGCATCAAAAATTATAAGAAAATCTTATTTATGTAGCATGAAGCTTGATGGCGTACCTCTCTCTCGATCCGGTCTCTGATAGTCTCATCTTTCTGCTTGGTAAATTTCTGGAAACTGAAAGTTTTTGTCTTCTTCATTTTATTATCTTTTATTATTTTAACCCACTCAGCAATAGGGGTTTTGGGGTTTTGGGGTTTTGGGG